CGGGGCTGGAGCTAGAGCTGGTCACTGGTCCTTCCCTCCTGGAGGTGTAAGGTCGTTGGTGATTTGTCCTGTTGGGTTACAGAAGCAGAATCTCTAGGGAGCTGAAACGCGTGGGATGTGTGAGGGGAAACCCTTCCTGGCCAGTGTGGATTCAGGGATCAGGCCGGGGACCCGTGTGCTCCAGGCATCCTTGGTCTCTAAGCCCAGTCTGTGCGGCTCTGGCGTGTGGAGGGAGGGAGCGTTTCAAGTTGTACAAGCCTGCAATTTGAGGGAGGCACGTGCAGGTCCCAATGAGGAGCTGGTGGACAGACTTGTCCCTCTCCCCTGGGTTCTGTGTCTTCAGTTGACTCCTACGCATGGAGCCCCATAAGCTCAGTTTTCTTGATCAGAGGCCAGCAGACCTGGGAAAACACACAACCTCATGTGAGAAGGTTTCTGTGCAGGTTGCCCCCAAACAAAGTCTATTCGGGCCAGCACAACTGTATTGGTTAGTGCTTAGTAAAGGAACAAATTTAGTATTATGAGCACATAAGGAATTTACAAGGTAGGCTTACAACAGCTACCTGAAGGACCAGGCTGGGAAGAAGATTGCAAAATCTGTGTGCTGAGGAGCCTAAGGATCCATTCAAAAGTAGAAAGCCTGCAGCTCACTGCCAACGCTGGTGTGGCTCTGGGCTGGAAAGCCAGTAGATCTGGGTTGCAAGACTGAAGGAACTGGAAATGGGCATCCAAATGTGGTGGTGAGGACCAGATCTCCTCTGAAGAAGGAAAGGGAAGACATCTCTCTTCTGTCCCTTTTTATCCCATACAAGCTGCAAGCCCAGCAGTCGGTGCCACCAGTCAGGTCTTCTTCAGTTTGTGGCCCACAGGTCGAGTGCGAGGACATGCCCAGAGCTCTGCTAACCCACTGGGAGGTTTTTCCTCGGGTCAGGCTGCCACACCACAATTAATGACCGCAGTGGCTGGAAACGTGTGAGTGTGCATGTTTCCAATACTTTTTAAAAAATAATTTTACTGAGAAGCAAATATCAGTAAGACAGTTTCACAACCAATTACTGGCACATTTTCAAGAATTAATACATTGCATATTATTGTCATAGTGGTTATTCATTGTACAAGATGTAGACATGATATCCTGTCTCAAACACTATTATCACAAACCTCTCTATTCTTTGAATTAAGAGACTGGAGCTGTAGATCTATCCTAACTATTTTGAGTATACAGATACAAAAGTGTCCTTCATTTCTATCCCACTTTTTTCATTAGTTTTGTCAGAGATGGGCATTCCATTGTCATTTAAATATTGTAGGTGCTTGAATTCAGCAGAATCTCCCAATACAGTCCAGTAGTTCATAATAGTAGTGGGTTTCCCGTAAGACTGGCAATGTCAGAAGTTGTTGACTTGAGCTCTTTACAGCTCAGCATATTAATGTGGCTTTACTTTTTATAATTTGTTTTCATACTTTTCTCCTGGATGGTTAAGACCAAGATAAAGCAAGACCTATATAACAAGAAATGTAACTTTTGTAACTGACAAGGTCAGTCAAATCCCTTCAGGATTTAACCTAAAACACTGTACCACAGTTTGTAGATCCTTTGTGAGTGTCAGCCATAATGAAACACAAAGCTTGACTACCTTTTGTATGAGATAAAATATAAACAAGAGGTAATTAAAGATGTACAAAGAATAGAAAAGACAGAAAATTTCCATAGACTATTTGTTTTTCTTTTTTGTTTAATGTATTTAGGACATGGTCTACATAGTCTACAGGGTCTCACTATGGAGATCGGACTCTAGTGATCCTCCTGCTTTCAGCCTCCCATGAGCTGGGATTACAGGCAAGTGCCACCACGCCCAGTCTCATTCGCCATCTCAGCATGTCCCAGGGGCTGGGTGGGCACAGGACACCAGGGATTGAACCCCAGTCCCTGTGTCTGCCTACGTAGGTACTTTAGTCCACTGAGCTATCTGGCTGGCCCTCCATGGACTACTGAGGGAAGGAAGAGTGGAAATATAAGGCCTCAGGGGATGGAGGCATGAACACCCTGCACAGTTCTACAATGGTAGGCAACTATTCAGTGGATAGATATTTCTAAACATGGGAAACCAACATGCAAACACATGCACAAATCTGGTGTAGGAGAACGGACATTTACAAGTAGTGCCCCAGTGTGCTCCTATGTGAGGAACTCCATGTTCAAACGCCCTGTGGATGTGGGGGACCAGGATGCACAGGTCACGTGCTGGGACCGTGTGCATCCTCGAAGTACGAGTGAGTGACTGTCACTGCTGCCTTCTTGTCGTGCCTTTCTGCACACTTCACGTTCTCCACAAGCCTGAAAAGCTTTGTTTGACAATCAGATTTACCCCATTTCTGTTTCACAAAGACATGACTAAGAACACCACGTGTCCAAGGCTGATGCTGTCACAAATGGTGCAGTCCCCTGTGTTTTGACCTAGAAACTAGCATCCACTAAGAAGTAGAAAGTGGAAATCTTCTGAAATGCAAGAGACAGACTTGAATGAATATGGCAGCCAGGTTATGGTGAGATTAAGCTGTCACCTGGTTCTTAAGCCTTGCATTCTGGGGATGGGACAGGGAAAATGATCAATAAGGCACCACCTGATTGGTTCTCATTCCCAACTCTTCTGGACTTTCCAGGTAACCATCGAGTCATGAGTCTTTCTTCTGGGGAGCAGGGTGAAGAGTGTGGACAGGCAGGGTAAGGGGAGAGCGCAGACACCTGCCTGGGAGCCCCACCTGCAGACGTCTCCTGGCACTGGGTGAGCCTTTCCTGTTTGGAGGCACCCATTTACAATTGATTAGGGCTGACATTTATGCATGCAGTTGTCCAGGCTCCTCTCTGCACTGGCAGGTGTTTTCATAGTAAGAATAAAAGATTTGGTGTCCGAGGGGCTGACCAGATAGGCAGTAGATTAAAGCGCCTGCTTAGGCAGACGCAGGAACCTGGGTTCGATCCCCAGCATGCCGTGCAGGGCCCCCTCCAGGGCTTGCTGAGATGGAGATTGAGACTGGGCATGGTGGCACACACCTATAATCCCAGCATTTGGGAGACTGAAAACAGGAGGATCACTACAACTCCAATCTGTGTAGTGAGACCCTGTAGACCCTGTACTGAATTTGTAAAACAAAATAAAAAGATTTGGTGTCCGAAACAAATGCTTTAAAGCAGGACTTGGAGTGCAGCTCGGGGCCAGTGAGTGGCACTTGCTGGCACCCCTCCTAACTACGGTAACTAGAAACCAGCAGGATGAGCTTGGAGGAGCCTTGGATTCCAGGTGCAAGATCCTGACCAGGACACTATCCTGACATCCAGTTCTCTTTTTTTCCATAATTTTATTGAGAAACAAATAGCAATGAGACAGTTTCAAACCAAATTGGTAGGACAGTTTCAATAATAAACACATTGCATATATTCTTCTTAGTGGTTAATTGCTGTACAAGATGCGGACTTGATTTCCTATTTACAAACACCATTAGAACAAATCCCTCTATTCATTAAGAGAATGTAACTATATCTATCCCAACCACTTTGAATACACAGATACCAAATGGACACACATCTGTATCCCCTTTTTTTGTTAAGTTCCATCATTTCAATATTATACGTGTGTAAACTCAGCAAAATATTCTAAAAGAGTCCAGTAGCCCATAATAGTATTGGGTCTTCTGCTTCACTGGCAATGGTGACATCCAGTTCTTGCAAGGAGCAGGTCATCCCAGACATCTGGGGGTGCATGGACACAGCAGTGCTTTGTCAGAAAGAAAATAATTAATTGTTTTGCTCACTCCCAGGAAAATCTGAGAAGCCCACAGGCACCCGATAGGCCGCAAAAGAACCTCACGCCTAGAGCACACCCACTGCCCTATGCAGGTGCTCTTCAATGCCCAGTCTCTATGTTTGGGAGACTTGAATTTATAACATGACACAGGTCCTCTGGCACCTCCATGTGCTTTCCCAACATGCATGCCTTTCCTGTGGTCTCCGTGCAGAGCCTGCATTTGGTATGGCCATATTTGGCCTGTCTTCGGTCTCACCTAATAGGGTATTTGTCATCCACTGCAAGAATTTTCTTCTCTGCTACACCTGTGCTTCCTCTTCCATTCCACAGGGCACTTCCATGAGACTTGGGCAAAGCCAGCCTGCGGTGGTGGCAGCAGTGGTGGAGAGTCCTCTGCAGTCTCTAGGCCAAGGATGTAGGACAAGCACAGTGGCTGGGACAACTGGCAGCAGCGGGCAAGTAGATGATAGCCAAGGATCCTGGCATCCCTTAATCACTTCCAACATCTAGTACTTGCTATGCAAGGACATGTGTGGACAGCAAACATCTTACCCTGAACTGGGACATCCAAAACAAAGAAGAGGAGAAGGGCCTTCTCTGTAGACACCCTAATCCTCTCTGTAACTGAGAAAGTTAAAGAGCACAGCTGTGAAGCCCCTCAGGAAGATCGAAATGGAAGGCACTGCCCCCTCAGGAGGGGCAGATGGGAAGGCTGCTGCACCACCAGCAGAAGCAAGAGGGAACAAAAGCACCCTTACGATGTCCTTGGAGGTCCCACAGTGGGGTGAGCAAAGGCCAGAACATGCACAAAGGGACAACACGGGGCCTCCCCAGGTACCGAGAAAGTGAGCCAGCTCATGCCCTCCTGCAATTCAAGTGAGAAGGAGAGGGCCCTTCTGGGGCCAGTGAGGGAGAAGTGGCTACTCGGGGTCCCAGCCGGTGACCTCAAGGAAGGAGGGCCGCCTGCGAAAGGAGACAGGCCAAGAGCAGGAGGCCAGGCCCCCTGCGCCCTCTGGGGTGCGAGTCCCAGCCCAGGCCTGCACCGGCAGCTCCAGCCGCACCAGCACCAGCTCCAGAATCATGAGCAGTACTGGCGTGAGGCAATGGGCCCTAGCGGCTTCCAGGGATGCGGCTGCGCACCAGGGCCAGGGAAGGGCCCACACTGTAGCCATTGTGTCCCTGTGTCGCCTGAACATGGCGCAGGGCCCTTGTACTCATGGGGTGCTGCGAGCTCCATCCTCTGTGGTGTATGCTAACCCCCCTACAGCTAGAACTCTGAGCTCAGAAGCCCAGCACACAGGCCCAGGGCCCCAGGCTGCCGCTTCCCCTGAGGGCTCTGCCTTCCTACACAGTGTGAAAGGCCCTGGCCTGTGTCCCTTCAGTACAGCCGGTGGAGAAGGGGTGGCTACGAGTTCTAAGTCCCCCGGGCCAGAGCTGCATCGCTCACTGCACATCGCAGAGAAGAAAAGGAAGCTCCAGGCCCCAGGCTTGGAGAAGTACCTGCCAATGCCTCGAGGTGCCACATGCCAGAAGGCCATCAACAAGCCCCAAAGGGCTGGCACTGAAGCCAAGGGCCCTATCATAGGCCAGGGCATGGCCCACGCCCAATCTGTCATTGTAAGAGGCGCCCTGGTGTGGTACAGATGTGGGGACTTCCCCTATTGGCCGGCAGTGGTCTGCAGTGTCACCGTCAGGGAGCAGACAGCCAGGGTGCTGTTGATCGAGGCCAACCTGTGCTTGCAACGCAGTGGCATCCGGGTGCCTCTCCACAGGCTGAAGCCCCTGGACTGTGAGGAGAAAAGCAAGCTTCAGCGCAGAGCCAGCAGAGCCTTTGGGCCCAGTGTCACCTGGTGCCTCTCCCTGGTCGCCCACTACAGAGAAGCCCTGGCCCTGCGGTCTTTCAAGGGCTCCTTCCTGGAGTACTATGCCTCAGATGCCAGCTACCCCCTCCGCAGGGTGCTGCGAGAGGGAGAGCCATCCCGGGGCCTGCGTTTCCCTGAGGTCAACTACAGTGACATGGAGGACTCTGAGGAGGAGGACCCCCCGACACCCACAGCCTGCCTGTCCTCCTCTGGGTCCCAGGGTGTGAAGCGGCCCCATAGGAGACTGCTCCCAGACCGAAGGCGCGCTGCTTGGGATCGCACCAACCAGAAGCTGGTAGACTTCATCGTGAAGACCAAGGGGGCCGACGGCCACCTGCTGGACATCATGCAGGGCAGGAAGCCATCCCGCCTCCTGGCAGCCTTCTTGCGAGAAGACAGGTACCTGATTTGCATGGAGACCTACCTGGAGGATGATGACCAGCTGGAGGTTGTGGCGCAACACCTACGGCGGGTCTGGGAGCGTACAGAAAACCCCATGCGGGCTCTGCTTCGTGTGGACAAGGTGAGACTGGTGCTGGAGGTTCTGCTGCCAGAAGCCGTGATCTGTTCCATCGCCGCCTTGGAGGGCCTGGACTACCAGGACGCAGAGGAGAAGTACCTGCAGGGGCCCCCGGTGCGGCCCCGAGAGAAGGACCTGTTTGACAGAAAGATCTTCAAGGAGAGGAAAAAGAGATCCGCTGGCAGCAGGGAGCAGCCCAGAGCCTGCCACCTGCCCACAGCCTAGCCAGGAGCTGGTCTTCTCCTCAGGTGGTGACATGTGTCGCTTTCTCCCTGCATGACACGTGAACAGATTGTGGAAACTGCAAACCTTAATGGTGTGTGCATCCCTCTGGGAGACACGAGCCCTGGCACCCGCGTTTGCCCAACTCTTCCCAGGCTCCTCGTTGCCAGAGCTGTGCTTCCTTCTGCTTTTCAGGAGGTGTAATAGCGCAGGTCTTTTCAACTGGAAGCACTTGTCTTGGATAACGCTGATCTCAGTGAAACTTAGAAGCGTTTTCATACAGGACGCACACATTGTCTTTGCAGGAAAGAGCACTGATAAGAACTCTGTAGCCACAGTGGCTGTTCCAACCTCAGTGGGCCTTTTGGCAGGAACACAAACTGAACTCAGCACACTCCTCCAGGATACAAGGATAAAAGTAGTAGTTTTTGAGATAGTTTCTGTAGCTTCCTTGTCTGGCCTATGTGGGTTTTGGAAAATACTATAGCGTCAGGCGTCTTCAGAACACCCCCAAAGAGGTTCTCTCCAAAAGCCTCGTGGAACCAAAGCCAGCACAGTCACTGGGACATCGGGCCGTAATGCGGTCTCCTAAGGCTGCTGGCATCTTCACAGCAAGTGACCACTCTGTGAGCCCGTGCTCAGCCCTGTGGGCTGAGGGACTTCGGGCTTCCAGTACTGTGAGGGGCCCTCTCTCAGTGCCTGCTGGACTTCCTGACGTGCGCACCTCAGCCTCCCTTCATCAGTGAGTAGCTGGCTCCAGTGCTCTTCACATGGCTGCCTGTCTCTTTCTCCCCTGCCCACCCCTTGAGACAGCTCTCATCCTGTATACCAGACAGAGGCTCTGCCCTGGCAGTGTGGGCTGGCCACTGAAGAGCGCATCCACCGAAAAGACCCTACCAGAAAGCGGGCTTTGGGCCCAGGTACCCTCAGGCGGCGGAGTCCTTGGCTTTCAGCCAGCCAGCTTTGCCTTCTGGCTCCTTCCAGGCCTGCAGCTTCCTGGTGTGTCCTCTCCAGACCATGCAGTGCCACAGCTCAGACTGACAGTCCCTAAGTGGCAGAAGAGACCATCTCCTTTCAGCTTCAAGGGCCATTGTCTCCACACGTGTCATGGGACATCAGGGTAGAACACCCGGTGTGAAGCCCACAAATTCTAACGCTGCCTTGAAGCCAGATATCTTCTTGAGAAGAAATGTTAGTGCAGTTACTTGGCTCCTAATGCTTGGTGTGGGCCTAAACATGGGCCTCCATTGGGTCCTGAATGCAGCAACAGCTCTTGCAGGAAGTTCACTGCTCGCCTAAGGCCATGGAAGGTGACCAGATGGCACGTGTTCCTGTGACATTTGCAGAGCAGCTGTTTGCGTTCACAATGAAGCCATTGTATCTTTTGCTTTGAACTGCTCTCCAGGATACCCAAGTGTGTACCCTAGCATGGGAATGGACTTTGCAAGCAAATATACAGTGCCCATCCAGGGAAAGTTGCTCGCCAGGGAAGGTGGCAGCTGCTGTCACTTCCCAGGCTCACTGTGAATGCCTTCTCTTTCCAATAAACATCCCGTTCATGCTCCATGGGGTCCACTTTCAGGAATCAGAGTAGGAGAGGACGTCCCAAGCCCTATAGGCAGCAGACCCCATCTACCTACCCCTCCAGGCTCTACCCCAACACACCACTTCTCCCATGACCCGTGCCAGGACACTGCATGTGACACACCCATGGTCCTGCCCCTTGGTAGCTGCAGATGACCTTCATGCTCTATGGTACCGGTTACCTGCATGCTCTCCAGACGCCCTACTCTGCCTTCCCTGTGAACCCTGCCCCTGACTGTAACTCAGCCTGCAGGCTAAGGCCCCCTCAGGGCCGTAGCTTCTCTCCAGGTGCCGGTGTTTCTGTCACCACCACATAGTCATCCCTTCGGGGGTCAGCAGAGCACATGAGGTCTGGTTGGATGCTGTGGGGTGCCACAGAAAGGGGTGGCCTTCCTGGGGCCCAAGAGCGTCACCTTCCTCAGCACACCAGGAGGCACACTGCTGCACCTGCTTTGCGAGAAGGTCCCGGTGCCAGGGCCTGAAGGGCTGACTGCTGCAGAGCTCCGATCTCCCCCGTGTCTGAGAGGAACAGGTGTCTGTCAGTTTGGGACGGGACAGTTGGGCAGGGGAGGGGAGCTGGTCTCTCAGATGTCATTTGCACCTGAGGCTGCCTCTGAGGACAGGCCATCATGTCCCCAACAAGCCCTTATTCTCCTCCTCTTGGAATCAGGATCACCTAAAGCATTTGAGTTTTGCGGGTGAATTGGTGGCTGGGTGCGTTCTGAGCACTTAGTCCAATTGCCTAAGCTTGGTCTCTTTCAGGGGCGTGTGTGTGTGTGTGTGTGTGTGTGTGTGTGTGTGTGTGTGTAGGGTAAACTAGATGTGTCACCCACCCTGAGGCCTGGGGTCGTGGTGACAGCTGGTGAGGACTGCTGAGAGGAACTGATGCAGGGACACAGCATGCTTGGGGTGCACAGGTTTCTTTATCCCTGAGTGGAAAACACAAGCTGGGAGGCTGGAGCCCTGAGCTCTGGACAGCTGCTGAGCATGAGAATTTGGGGCGCCTCGAATCCCCTGTAGCCCTATCACGACACCAGGAATGCCCAACCCTTGCAACTTAGAAGCAACCTTGTTGCTCCTGAAAATCCTGCCACCTTCGTGCAAAGGGGCAACCTCCTACAGTGCTGCTTGTCACAGGCACCACCGGCTCTGCCACCTCTCCTTACTGTGAGACTAACACATCAGGTGACATTCAGCTCAGTAAATCACAGCACCTCACAGCGTGGGAGGACAGCCCCGTCTGTATATGGACGGGAGACACTGGGCATTCCAGGGAGCTTCAGGACCTGCTTGAAGTGAAGGAAGACATGTGGGAACGGATGGCAAGGATGATGAGCCAACAAGGCAGGGCCACAACACCTAGGCTATGTGTGCAGGCTCACCGCTGAGCGCAGAGCGCAGAGCCGGGATGAGGCGTCTAGGGCCAGGGCCGCCTATTGCTGCTAAAGTTGCACTTTCAAGCTTGGACAAGAGCTGATAGAAAAGGAGATGGAGATAAGGAAGCATGGACTTGCAAACAAGTTCTATTCTGGGAGAATTGTTCATAAGTCAGATTCATTCATAAACCAACAAAGTGACTCTTACACAGCATGCCCAGGAAAGTTCACAACGCAAATGTTTCTTTTTCTTTTTTTCTTAATTTAGGACAGGGTGTACAGGGTGTTCAGGGTCTCACTACGTAGATCAGACTCATAGTGATTCTCCTGTTTTCAGCCTCCCAAGTGCTGGGATTACAGGCGGGTGCCACCATGCCCAGACACATTAGCTGTCTCACTGTGCCGTGGGGGCAGGGCTCAAATGTTTTTAAATTGGGGATTTACCATACTGGAATTGCTGTGGCAAAATATCTATGAATTAGTGAGAAGATCCCGGGCAATGAGGTAGAGCATGAGATGCAATTTACTGTGTGAGCCCAGAGTTCCTACAGCCGGATTCTCCTCCTCCAGACAGTGCAGAAGACACTATCACAAGGAATGTGTTCATTGGCTCATTGCCACCTCAGAGAATCTCTCTATTGGCTCTCTTCACAAAGCAACGGTTGGAGGCAGGAGCCACTGCACAGACCTGCCAACCAAAGGAGGCGGACCGATTCTCTAGTGGCAGAGTCCAGGTGATGTTGCAAGACCGCCTGGGGAAGACAGGCATCATTCCCATTCTAGGCCACAAGTTCGGGGAAGGGTCAGGCACAGGTGACTGTTAAGGATCTGGTGCAATGTTACAGATGCTCATATTCCAGGGTCCAGACATCTGGGCAGCTGACTTGGGCAGTAGCTGCTTTCTGTAAGATAAAAATGAGAGATGGCATGCAAGAGTCTGCTGTGAGTATTTGCAGTGAACAACTGTACTCCCCACCTAATGTCCAGATCAAAATCAGTTCATAGGGCCTACAGTCTGTAGATTGAACTGGAAGTCAGATACACCCAACCACAAGTTCCCCAGAAAACTCCATGGCTGTTTACTAAGGTAAACGTCACTGTGAAAAGGAAGATACCTATTTTTAAAAGACTTTTGAATATGGATTTTTCTGCTTAGAAAAGGATTTATGAGGCCCAGATATAAAGGGAGTTGTGCCTCAAATTCATCTCACAGAGTATCCAATAGTTCCTTGGATACTGCGTGTAGGGCACCATGGGTAACCAGGTGGCAGGGACCTCTGGGAAACTTGTAGAAGAGCTGTTTGGCTTCGCAATGAAACGACCGCGCCCCTTGCTTTGAACTCGAGAGTACTTGAGATTGTACCCTACCATGGGAGAAGGACCTGGGGAAACATGGGCTGGTGATGATGTCTGCTAGCACTATGGTGAAAGGTACATGTGGACGCCTAGAGGGCTGTCCTTTCTTTGCAATATGGGAATGTAAAAGAAATACCAGTTCTATACTTAAAATGAAGAGAAGACTTGAATTACTAAAGTCAGAAAGGAAAAGTGGGATATGACTACTGAACCAATGGAGGTTTATCCTTTGCTAAGGGTGGAATCCAGTCCTTTACACATGCGAGGCAAGTGCTCTAACACTAAGCTAACATGCAGCCCAACAAGATTTTTTATTTTAAAGAGACACAAAAACAATGCACAGTTTCAAAGCAAGATGATAGGAAACGAACGATGGCTATCATATTGCATATTGTCACCTTCCAAGTCGTTGCCCAGATTCCCACGTACAGACATCCAAAACTGATCAGACAGTCCAAGCCTCAACTGCGCCTTCCAGTGAGTCCGTAGAAGGGGCCAGTGCGGTTGTCTCAGCTAGCTTATACATGGATGCACACCATTGTTTTCCTTCCTTCTTTTTTCTTTTCCCATCTCAGTTGTTCTTTCCTTTTGAGAAGTTTCTTTTCCTTTCACAATATCTATTACACCTTTTGAATTTTATTTACTCTTTCAGGTTCTTATACTAGTTAGCCAATATGATGTCTACAC